ACCTATTTAACCATCCCTGATATTTACATGTTTAGAGATTAGGGCGTTCCTGTTGCTGTTTTAAATCCATGAAGAAAGGTGCTTCGGATGCACGAAATTTATAAATAGTAACAGTGAGTTATTATCATTCTTTATCTTTTAGAGATGCTTTAGCTTCAATTTACGTGTTTTGTTTTTATAACATCGTTCCCTGGTTGTATGTCCTTCTTACTCGTTACCTTTGTAATTAATATAAGTGTCCCCTTGATCGACTTATTCATCCCAATGGCAAGTGTTGCATAGTTAACCTGTGATATAAACATATGCCTAATTTTGCAATAAAAAAAAATTGATAATTAAATGGTATGACCAAATCAGGCTGAGCCCTAATATATACAATGCTGACAACGTTTCCTCGATGATAAACGCTCGTTTTCATGCAGTGCATACGCCATTACATACCAATCAAATACAGGACGCTTAACTTCCGTTTTACGTCTCACCAAATTTTGGAGTTTTTTTTTTATGCAATTCTTAATCATACTTTAAAAATTTCAAAAGACATGCACAAGATTTAATCTGGTCCCGTGTTTTGCAATGGAAAATTCCATAGCATCTCTGTGTGATATTTTCGATAAACATCACTGTTTCATTTCTTTCTACCAAAACTTGTAAGACTGCAGACGTTATTAAAGAATAAGAATGGTTAAGTGTCTATTTAATTCTTCTTAGTACTATCATTTGCTAAATAAAACAGACTTTCGTTTGCATGAATAAAGTTCTTGGACAGGAAATTAGGAATCGCATCAACTGATATGATGCATCAACTGATATGATGCATCAACTGATATGATGCATCAATAGAAACGATAAGATCATTATGAATGTATGTACTTTAGGAGTAATACCACCGTTGTGTTTCCTCTTTATTAGTTATTATTTAAAAAATTGTGCAGAATTTATCTTTGTTCCAAATAAAAAAATACTTGGTATGGATAAAGTACTAAATTGAAAATTTTAATTACAATTTCATTGCATCATAAGATAAAAACCATAATCGGAAGTCAACTAATAAAATTCGCACCCCTTTTTAAAGCGGATGACCTTGAGGGCATTCCGGTGTTATGTTGCCGCAGACATTTCTACCCACATGACTTGCGTTTTTGACTGATAACCGAACGTATTTCGTATAATGACGCGGATATTATCGAGTGCAAAATAATATTCCTTATTGCTTGTTATATATTTATTTCATCAACAAATATTCATGAAAATAATTTTTAAGAACATAGATAAATGATATGAAAATGTTTTGTCGTGAGAAATATATATATCAATAACAAATCAAGAATACCGAAAATTTGTGTTAACGCAGAAGTTAATGCGGAAGAATATCTCAAGAACGTTTTGTAACAAACGCGGTAAAATATGAATGCCTACTCAAATCCAATCTATTAATGAAAAACGAATTATTACAGAAGAGTGTCCACCATGCACTTGCACTGCACTATCATTAGAATAGTAGAATAGAATGATATACAAATGGATGAAAATTATATATAACTGTTATACAAATATTAATATAATATATATAACAACAAACTAGAGTATACTGATAACAAATGATTATATCACTACAATATAATAGTTATAACGGCGAGGTTGAATTCTTTGTCATTTATTCATCATCCACACAGGAACTTGTCTCAGAAAAAAATATATCTATGTTCCTTAACCTAACTTTCAGGTATAGAGATGTGATTTTTTTTCTGAGACAAGTGCTTGTGACCATCCACCAGAATTTGCGGTCATCCGATGTTCAGTACTTCAGTACTTTGATTTACCTGTTGACAAGCTTTAGTAACCACTAACCATGTCACCTTAAATTTCCAAAATAATTTTTAGAAACACCAAATTAAAAAACGAATGAAACACCCAAGATATATATTTACGACTCAGATTTTTTTCTGCAAAGAAATGCAGGGTTAATTTCCTTCCACTATCAAATTCAAAGGAATATTTTTTTTGACCCGGATGTAACATATTAAGTTTTGGTGATATTACACCTTTAATAAAGGTTAGCTTTCACTTAAATTCAGCATTCAATTTGCACCTTGTAAATCGACAATAAGCACAATTTCTATAACAATTTAAAAAGGTTCAATTATTATAAGTAGAATTAAAAGAGAGGTGGAAGATATTCAAACTCATAAAGTCGAAAACGAACTGACAATTTCATGGCAAAAACGACCAACATACAAACAACAGCCAACAAAACACAACATATATTACGAAAAACTGAGCAATACGAACCCCACCAAAAAACTTGGGCGCTCTGGAAGGGTAAACAAAGCCTTGTCCACATGTGGCTCGTGTTTCTCCATTTGGAACTTTTGGTTTGATAGCTTCCTTGCAAGCAGCATCCCTCTATCAAGGAAACAGCGAAAGAAAATGCAAACTATTAAATATTGTACCAGCTATGAGATACATACTTCATATGCAGGTGCTGCTGGAATTTTGCTACATAGAAATGGAAAGTTAACAACTTAGAATCTGAACTCAGCTTGAGATATGAGACAGACTAAACTGTATCTGTTGTATCCTTTATTTGATGGGAAAAATCCTCTCATAGTCACCAAACTTTTGACTATTAAGTGGGAAACATGCGTTCAACATAGTCACCATACTTTTGATTATTTAGTGAGAATACATCATTTAAATAGCGGGACTTGAAACAAGGATAATGAAACTTATTTTCATTCTTCCTCAGAAGCTCCTGTATGAAGTCTGCCTCATATGAATAAAGGTACAGGTTGACAAGTTTAGTCATGATCAGCACCTGATTCACACAGCCCATAGAGTAGGAAGATTCACAATAACTCTGAAGCCCGGCTTTGATTGCTGATAAAATCGCTGTTTATAATTTAGAAAATCAAAACAACACTTAATAGATTAAAAACAATGTTACCAGTAACATAACGATAACAACATTTTCTTAATGTGATCTTTGATACATGTATATCATGATATAAACAAACACATTTAATCAGCACCTAGAAGAGGGACGACAGTGTAGGTGCCGTGTGCAAAACTTTTCATGGTAAATTGTATCTTTGAAGATTATATTCCGTAATGGCGTGAATTTTATTCGATGTCTATAAAAATATGAAGCACAAGTTTTTGTTAATATTACGTTAGTTCGCCAGTAGAAGTTATTGAAATTTATAACAGTTAAAGAATATTGTTCATACATCCTAACACATTGAAGGTCTCCTTAAGTCTCCACCCGTTGCTGCATAGTACGACGCTAAAAAACGACGATTTTCAAATAAAATGTCCAAATATATTTGTCAAATACGCGAGAAAAGATCAGTAAATACTAACCTTATGCATAAAAACTAAAAAATAAATTGTGTATTTTGATTATATTCAAGATATAATGAAATTGTTTCACCCAATAAAAGCCATGTAATAAAACAGCTTATTTAAATTGTGTATAGTTTGTGTATTGGTCGGCTTCAAATAAAATATTCAAATATATTTGTCAAATACGTGAGTAAATATACTAACCTTATGCATAAAAAAATACATTTTTTGTGTATTTTGATTATATTCAAAATATAATGAAAATGTTTCACCTCTTAAAAACCATGTAATAAAACAGCTTTTTAAAATTGTGTATAATTTGTGTATTGGTCGGCTTCGTTCTCTAATTATGTTTTCTCGTTTTTTATTTTTGTACAGATAAATGAAGAATGCATACAATATTAATAGTTTTGTAATTAATCAAATGTGGTTCCAAATAAGACCTTAAAATTAATCAAATGAATTCTATTAATGTCCATGCCGTATGAAATAAGCCCTCGGGGATAAGCAGTTTAATACGGGTATATATGACAAGAATGTATATTCCGGACAAAAAAATGACAATTACAAATTCGTTTATAATGTGTACATGGATGCATATTGTATAACCATTACAACTGTATATAACTGATTATATTTATAATCTCAGTCCACAAATTTCGGATGTCCAGGTGATGTTCACGCCACGGACTGCTTGTAATAAATGACACATTATCACCGCGACCGATTAATAATATGCCGTGTGCAGAGTGTCGTCCATCCTCTGAGCAGCACCTGCATATGTATAAATTATATATTTCTCTACTTCTTTGGCAATTTAACCCTTTCTGGACCCATTGGTAAAAATGGAATACCGATGATCTCACTGGATGATTTGCAAAGTTAAATTAAGGTCACAACCTTTGTCAGCTCTCTGGATGACTCGAAATGTGCTAACAGGTGTTAGAAAAACTGACATCTTTACATTTGTATGACTTAAAAATCCAGAATATGGATTGCACTCGAAGGGAATTTTCGTTTATCAAAATAAAAAAAATTAGATGATTATTAGAGAAACAGATTCTTACAACGTTACTAGCGGATTCTCGGATTTAACCAATCTCGAACTTGTTACAATGTATATAAACACGCTAATGAGTGTGATAAAAATATGTTTTATATTTTAAAGATTCACACAATATTTCGCTAGAAAAATTAAATTCATCAGGAAGGTATAGCCATCCAAGGGAATTCGGATAAATTTTGCAGCTAATCGTACGTTTCGATCATATATTTCGTTCAAACAGATCTAATTGTGTTTTGTAAACTATATGAAGACCATGATTTATTCTTTTGTCTGATGATTAAACTGTTCACATTTTGGTTATCGGGTGATATTTTGAAAGGAATGTTTTGTTTTAAGAGGTTTTTCGTGATTGGGCAGTTTTTTTCCTTTGGAATAAAATAACTCGATGATTTTTATTGTCGTCAACATATTTCAGCTGCAAGTTCTACAAGACAGAATATAAATATTATTTCCGTTTTATTGACTTGTTTGCGTATAATGTTGTATCGCTGCTTTGATAATGTGCTGATGAAAGTGCTTTCAACGTAAGTGACTTTAATTTACGTTGTAATAATTTGGATGCGTTACAGGCTTTGACCACTAAACAATATGAGAACATTAAGACTTTTATTTTGTGCAAAAAACATAAAACTTGAACAAAATCATCTTTTCAGGATAGAAAACCAAACATCATCATCATTCAAAATACAGTGAAACAAGTATTTCTGCGTTTTTCTCATTAATGTTATTATGGTGTGTCGTTGATACCACTTTCCAAGATTCGTTGTTTGTTGCTGCATCTCTGACTAATTACCAAATGACAGTTTGCCCCTATAACTGAAAGAGACAATTTTAGGCTTTTAGAGTTCCCGATGAAGGTAAATTCAAGTATGACATAGCTTCGGACGCAAAAATTTTTAAAATGCTATTTTCATTATGAAATATGTAAATGAAACTGAAAACTTCCTCCAAAATATGTTGAAAATAGCTATATAGTCGGCAGATTAGTATAAAGCAATAATAAAGATATCCAGACTAGAGAAATAATTAAAGTTTCGATTTGTGTTATGCTTACGACAATAATGACATGATTAATGATATGAAGAAACTAGAAGCTCCAAAGAGCCTGTGTCGCTCACCTTGGTCTATGTGCATATTCAACAAAGGAAATCATCCAACATTGTAGACGAGAATAGAATCATGGCAAAACTATCTGTTTTGTTGATCTTGTATTGCTGATCATTTAGTCAGTTTGGTTACTCTCTATCTTCTTTAGTTTTTGCTCAAAACACAAAAAAGGGTAAAAAAATCCTCATTTAAGGGCAATCACTCCTTTGAATAGTGACAGTCTACTTACTATATCAGGAAACTTTGACTTGTTAGTAGATCTTGCTTTGCTGATCATTTTTTTGTGATTTAAAGTGTCTATTTATCTATTACAATTTTTATCATGTTAGGCAAAATGCAAACAAAATGGTAGAAATTGTCATTAAAGGGCAATTACTCAAATAAGGAGTCGTCAAATGATTTCCTCCATAATGTCTTAATTGTAGGTCTTGATTTGCTGATCATTTTTGCTTATTTCAGTTTCTATCTATCTATTATAGTTTTTAAGATGTAAGGCAAATACGCAAAAGATTGGTAAAATTGTCATCAAAGGTCAATAACTCTAATAAGGAGTCGACTTATTTGTAGAACTTGTCTTGTTGATCATTTATGCAGATTTAAGTGTCTTTCTATCTATTATAGTTTTCAAGATAATAGGCAAAATTGAAAAAAAAATGTCTTTTAAGGGCAGTAACTCCTATAAGACGTCGTCTGACAGTTTTTGACGGAAACGAACAATTGGTAGAGCTCAACAATCTGAACATTTTTGCATGTGTCATATTTTCCCTATTTATAACGGTTTTCAAAATAATAGACAAAACTTGCATTTTACCCCTATGTTCTATTTTAAGCCAAGTCGGCCATCTTGGTTGACAGGCAGGGTCATCGGACACATTTTTTAAAACTAGATACCCCAATGATGATTGTAGACAAGTTTAGTTAAATTTGGTCCAGTAGTTTCAGATTAGAAGATTTTTGTAAAAGTTACCGGACGACGACGGACGACGGACGACGTCGACGACGAACGATGGACGCCAAGTGATGAGAAAAGCTCACTTGGCCCTTTGGGCCAGATGAGCTAAAAAGGGTACAACTATTACCTATTCCAGTCAAAATACTCCATGTTCAAAAATTACTTTACCATAATAACAAACAGACGGTTTTGCAAAATGAACCATTATCCCCACGGTTTATCTAAAACCATCTTGTAGACTATTTAGTGAAGTCTCTAAGACTTATAAGTGCTGTTATGGATACATGAGCCAAGGCTCCGTGTTGAAGACCGTACTTTGACCTATAATGGTTTACTTTTTTAAATTTTGACTTGGATGGAGAGTTGTCTCATTGGCACTCATACCACATCTTCTTATATCTATATATCATTTGACGGTAACCATATACAACAACATAACAACATCTAGAACAGGAAAACGTCATACTTAAATAATATTTACAATCTTCTAGTATGAAATAATTTCAAATCTCTTTAAAAGAAAAAGTAATACTAAATTCTCAAAAACAAGAATAAGCATCCAGTAAAATGTTTTAAATCAATTTCAGATACATTTACATATACAGTTAAGTCTGCCTCATATCTTGACTTACATCTAGAAATTGACAATGAGGGTCGGTTGAAAACAAAACTTTACGACAAAAGAGATGATTTCAGCTTCCCAATTGTAAACTTTCCATTTCTATGTAGCAACATTTTAGCAGCGCCTGCATACGGAGTATATATCTCACAATTGATACGATATTCCCGGGCTTGTATTTTTTATCATGATTTCCTTGATAGAGGACTGCTGCTCACAAGGAAGCTATTAAACCAAGAGTTTCAAATGGAGAAGTTGAAATCATCCCTTCGTAAATTTTACGGACGCCATCACGAGTTGGTTGACCGTTATGGAATAACCGTGTCACAGATGATATCGGATATGTTTCTTATGTCGTAACTACAATACCCTTCCCTTTTTCACAAATGTGACTTACCGAATTAGACTATTTACCGGATTTGTAATAACATAAGCAACACGACGGGTGCCACATGTGGAGCAGGATCTGCTTACCCTTCCGGAGCACCTGAGATCACCTCCAGTTTTTGGTGGGGTTCGTGTTGCCTATTCTTTAGTTTTCTATTTTGTCATCTGTACTATTATTTGTCTGTTTGTCTTTTCATTTTTGGCCATGGCTTTGTCAGTTTGTTTTCGATCTATGAGTTTGACTGTTCCTCTGGTATCTTTCGTCCCTCTTTTATACTGTAATTACTCGCAACAATCCGGTTTTTTAGGAATATTATCCTCTTTAATATTCCTGTAAAATTGAAACTAAGGATAATATATAAATCTGATCTGTTTGATCAGTTTTTTTATCGGACTTTTTTTTACGCATCTCAGCTGAGAAGATACATGAAGATACTAGTTTATGTATCCCTAAGCTTAAGCATAAGCTTGTTCACACTACGTTGATTTGTTTACTATTACACTCATGAATTTAACGCTAAAGATTTTCGGTCTTTCATTGGTTTTTAGTTACAGTGTCTCAATTTCTCAACTTTATAATACCATTTGAACAGTGTTATGTACTCCGTGTGTCTATTACTGTCAACCGGACATAATACATATTGATAGCTTCTACATCATTTGGTATTTGGTGGAGAGTTGTCTGATTGACAATCATACCATGGTTGTGTTAATATGTTTTTGGCTCCGGATATTCATTCAATCTGGGTGATTCTTTTAGTTTTAGAATTTTTAATGATGATTGAACATTGGTAAATTACTGTTGACTATATTTAACACTTACATGTACTAATTTGATGAGACTTGAAATATATCAACTCACCATCTATATCTAAATGTGATGATGTGTATTTACAATTATATGTTTTTTCGAATTTTTCAAATAATAGCATACCAATGGTTTATAAATTGTTAGTTGTACTATACAATGTGTAAAATATCTTACATCAGGCAGATCACAACTAGTCCAATCAACAACACTCCCACTGACAAGGTAATAGCAGTAACTTTCCATGCAATTCCTCCTTCAAATACAACATATAACAAATGATACAAGCTTGAAGGTTTGTATAGTATATATATAGTGTCTATCAAAAGTCAAAATATTTGCTTGCTCAATAAAAATTGATTATAAAAGTGTTTTTGAATGTAAAAGTTTCCCAATTTCGATTCGCAAATTATATATAGTCTTTATTTTTTAGTCACTGTATAATAACTTTTACTAAATGCGCTATAAATTCATATAATCAAAATCTTCAAGTTCTAAATTTAAAATGAACTATATTTTCTTGCTTGTTTTTGGTTGAATGCATGACTTAAATATTTTAAAGAGAAGGCTATTTTAGAATCACGTTTTGTACATGCATACGTGATAAAAAAAAATCAATACTGCTGCAATTTGCTGAATCCCCGGGGCTTTAATAGTTTTGGTGTAGGCGGTATATTGTGAATATTTTTCAACAAATACAAAAAAACTTCTACTTACTAGTACTACCATTAAGAAAAAAATCTTTTATCAAAATCAGCTTTGTTATCTGGAACTTACCGTCGGAAGAGTTGACTCCAGACTGATTTGTTTTCAACGGCGCTTGTGTTGTAAGTTCAGCACTATTTAGAAATGTTATTTTAGAAATAACTGTGCCATAACTATAACCTGAAAAGGTCGCATATTTTTTTTTAATTATACACGATTCCTTATGGCGATGTTAAAAATATATCATGCATATGTCTTTATATCGTTAAAATCAGTGCATAAATTTGAGAATGGAAATGGGGAATGTGTCAAAGAGACAACAACCCGACCATAGAACAGACAACAGCAGAAGGTCACCAACAGGTCTTCAATGCAGCGAGAAATTCCCGCACCCGGAGGCGTCCTTCAGCTGGCCCCTAAACAAATATATATACTAGTTCAGTGATAATGAACGCCATACTAAACTCCAAATTGTACACAAGAAACTAAAATTGAAAATAATACAAGACTGACAAAGGCTAGAGGCTCCTGACTTGGGACAGGCGCAAAAATGCGGCGGGGTTAAACATGTTTATGAGATCTCAACCCTCCCCCTATACCTCTAGAATGTAGAGAATTAAACGCATAACAAAACGCACATTAAAATTCAGTTCAAGAGAAGTCCGAGTCTGATGTCAGAAGATGTAACCAAAGGAAATAAATAAAATGACAATAATACATAAATAACAACAGACTACTAGCAGTTAACTGACATGCCAGCTCCAGACTTCAATTAAACTGATTGAAAGATTATGTCTTCATCATATGAATATCAGGCACAATCCTTCCCGTTAGGGGTTTAGTATCATACCATCATAACATATATGAGAAGAACATAACCCGTGTCATGCCAACAACTGGTTTTTAAATAAATGTGTTTAGTGCCGATGCAAAGACCCTATAAGTGAATCAATATTAACGCCAAAATATGTAATCTTTAATGACCTGACAACAGTATCGTAACTATATCCCTTCTTAATAAGTCTATTTAAAGGTTTTGTTAGCTTCAGAGGTGAATACTGACATTTTTGTGCTTTATAAAGAATATTTCCATAAAAAATTGGATGTGAAATACCTGAACGTATAAGAAGTCTGCATGTTGAGCTATATTTACGAATGATGTCCTTATACCGATGATAAAATTTAGTAAGTGTTTTGACTAGTTTGTGATATCGAAAACCCTGGTGTAATAATTTTTCAGTAATACATAAATTTCTCTCGTTAAAATCTAAAACATTGTTACATACACGAGCGAATCGTACAAGTTGAGATATATAAACACCGTAAGATGGTGACAAGGGAACGTCACCATCTAAAAATGGATAATTAACGATAGGAAATGAAAAATCATCTCTTTTATCATATATTTTAGTATTAAGCTTTCCGTTAATGATATAGATATCAAGATCGAGGAAAGGGCAGTGGTCATTGTTAGTATTAGCTTTATTTAAAGTAAGTTCAACAGGATAAATTTCTTTAGTATACATACTGAAGTCGTCATTATTGAGAGCCAAAATATCATCCAAATATCTAAAAGTATTATTAAATTTGTGTATCAGATGTTGTTTCGATGGATCTTTGCTGATTTTTGTCATAAATTGTAACTCATAGCAATACAAAAAAAAGGTCCGCAATAAGTGGTGCACAGTTAGTCCCCATTGGAATTCCGATAACCTGACGATATACGGAATCTTCAAAGCGAACAAAAATGTTATCTAGTAAAAATTCAAGGGCATATATAGTATCAAAGCATGTCCAATTGACATAGTTTTTTTGTTTATTGCTACTAAAAAATGACCTAAAAGAGTTTGAACATATATATTCACATTCTGACTTTTTAAATGCCCATTTAATTAGGTGTGTGAATTTTTTCTTAATGAGAATGTGAGGCAATGTGGTATATAGGGTAGAAAAATCAAAACTTTGAACAGATTCAAAATCACCAATATATGCATGCAATTTATCAAGTACTTCCAACGAGTTCTTGACACTCCAAAAGTAATTAATTCCACTATTTTCGAAGGCCTTATTTGAACAATTTATTATCAGGTTTTTGATTGTACCATGTTTACTTGTTTTTGTTAATATATCTTTTTGATTGAGTTAAGCCATTTCAATTGATATTTTGTAGTGTATCGTTCTATGTTGTAATGCTACACTACTGTTCCAGGTTAGGGTGAAGGTTGGTGCCTGTTAAAACGTTTAAACCCGCTGCATTTGTTTGCACCTGTTCTAAGTGCAGGTGGATAAAAGGTCCACTGATGTAGGACCTCAGGTAAAAGGTTCCCTCAGGTGTTGTTCTGTGGTTGTCGTTTGTTGATGTGGTTCAAAAGTGTTTCTCGTTTCTCGTTTTTTATATGGATTAGACCGTTGGATTTCCTGTTTGAATTGTTTTACAATAAGCTTTTTTGGGCCCTTTGTAGCTTGCTATTCGGTGTGAGCAAAGGTTCGTGTTGAAGGCCGTACTTTGACCTATAATCGTTTACTTTTTACACATTGTGACTTGGATGGAGAGTTGTCTCATGGGCACTCATACCACACCAAATTTCTATTTATTGTATCTAGTACGATATGATACACGCGTTCAACATAGTCACCATACTTTGAATTACGACTCTAAACCTTAATAATTATCGTTGGAAGACGTTTTATCTTTCGAAAAAAGTATTGCTGTGAAAACTTATTTTGGCAATGTATGATATACATATTGTAACGTTCCAGGGTTTTCTACTCAGCTTAAATCTTGGTCTCCGGTGAAGGAAATAATAAAATAACAGAAGAATTTACTGAACTTATACTGTGTTATGTAAGTTTAATGATAGATTCTATTATCTCTTAGTGCAGAAAATCAACGCGTGCACTGCAATCAAATACACGTCATTGTCGGTGCACGGTCAAAGAATTATCAGAGCAAACATCATGCTAGCATTTTGATATGAAGATTTAAATCATTAGATCTCAAATATTATCACCAATCAATTCTACTTGGTGTTGCAAGTTATAGCTTGAAATATACCAATGTGGTGAATGACGTTTTCATCTTACGGTTTATCTGATTAAAATAACTAAAGCTTCAAATTCTGTGAAGGTATTTCAATTCGTGTAATCTAAACTGCAACAGCGAATGTTATAATAGTTTTCAAATTACTTTTCTGTAAGATGCATTGTACAATAATAAACTTTCTGAACAATAATTTTTTTCTTAAGCTATTGGTATATCGAAACCATTTCAATTTCGTAACTGTAACTTTCTCATTTTCAAAATAGCACGTAAGGTGATGCATACTCCAGAAAAATCTTTAAATGGAAATTTAGTTAAAAGAGAAAAACAGTGTTACTAGTATTCAAAAATTCCACAAATTACGTTTTCAGTTATCTTTTTTTTTATCCAACTAATTAATAACTTCTAAAATCTTAATTATTAAAAGCCGCAACTAAGGAATTTGTCGTCCATTTTTTCTGTATAAAAGACTTTCTGCATCTTTCGCAAATAAACGCTGTGAAATGTTTTACACTTTTTTCTTCAAATTATGCTAATATACATTGTTACATGTAGACAATTGGACAATAGTTATCAATATATATGGTAATACCGGTACACTTCATACTTGTAAATTTGTGCGCGATTGCATATTCCTATAATGAAATGAGTAAAGTATACTTGATAAGACATTATTCATATGTGGTGTCTCTCTTTTTGAAAGATTCATGACTTAAATAAAGCGTTGTCTCTTTACATCTGTTTTTAATGTAGCTTTAGAATAAATAAGACATATACCTTCTGAACATACAAATGCATATTTTTCTTTACACGCAGTAGAGGTCAGCGTTTCATAATTTCCCGTTCTGTTTGGAAATTTGTTGAATAGCATACATAGGACAACAAAACTATCAATATCTAAAAAGCAATGAAGAAAAGATGTCATTAATTGATAAGAAATTAAGATATGTCATAATGGAATGATAAAAGATGGCATTTTCACAGACCGCTAAAATTTTCCTGGTAAACGAAAGAGGCAAATCTAAATAAAAATTACGCTTTAATGGGGATCTCATTGGGAGGGGGGTCTGATCCTGGATCCCGCTTATTGATTTGTCAGAATCCCGTATCCCGCTTATCATTGTAATTATAGGGCTTGTAATTTCACATGTCCCGCCCGACTTCGTTTCCCGTTTTCACGCAAAATAATTTGACTTTAACGTGTCACGCTTACAATAAATAGGCCAATCCCGGATCACGCTTACACCCCATGAGACCCACTTCAATTAGCTCTTCGACGTATGTATAAGGATTTAGATCTTCAAATACTTTTGCCTCGAGCATAACTGAATCGCCAAACATTGCATCTGGTACACTAAAATTGGTATCGTTAATGTTATTACGAGAACAGCAAGCATTATAACCTTCAACATACTAAGACTTATAGAATTGATCCAGTATTTTGTATTCCATTTCATCTCTTCCATTGCAATATGAAGTTTCGCCATGTTGATAATATCAACCAGGTTACC